TGGTGAGCAAGGTTTCTTTCAAAATAAATCATAATTATTCCAAACTTTTATGTTTTATCTCTTATTCTGAGATCACAAAACGTTTTTAAACTTTAGCACATATTCAGGTATCTTTTTTATTCATATTATTTGCATAAAAAGCACATGATAATGCTTTATACACATGCTCCACCAAGCCAAACCCTTTGTGACCATCTTCTGGTTGCTGTTTGCAGTCTTTGTGGATTGATTTCAGCAGCAACGTGATTATCCTCATCACTTTAGCGTCCACAGCCTCTGCGAGCCAGCCTCTCGTTTCTCAGCGCTGCAACCCTACACCAATATAGCTAGAGTTTATTTCGCCCGTTTATTTTTACTAGCAAATCTCTTCCTTCTCCATTCCTCCCACTCGTTAGCCTTCCATTGTTGGAGAGGATGAGAGTTTGCTAAATATGTGCTCTGTTGGAAAAATATTCTGGCTTCCCTTTCTCTCAAACTCTAGTTTTCATCCTTTACAATACTATTGTATTGTAAAATGCCTTTACAATACTATTATGCCAATTTTTCACCTGTATAAAGATGTTTGGTTGGCCAGGGCTGATGTGTTGGATTTAGTGTTGAATTCAATTCCACATTTGACATTAGTATTATAGATAATCTTTAGCAAAAGCAAGATACATGTGCTTACCATTGACTATACATATAGAGCAATTTCTTAAAGATGCGGTCTTACTTGTTTGGAGTTTGGAGTCCAATTCTCAATGTTAATTAACTATTAACTGCAACTTTTGCCTCAGTAAACTCCTAATTTGCTCCTAACTATTAATAGTTAATAAGGTAGTTGTTAAATTTAGGTATGGAATAAGGGATCTAATATATATATTCATGCAGAATAAGACATTAATATGTGCATTATAAGTACTAATAAACAGCCAATATCCTAGTATTATGCATATTATTAAGCAACTAGTTAAAAGTGAGAAGTGGTCCCTAAACTAAAGCGTTACTGAAGACGCATATGTCAGTGCTTTGCTTTGTAACCAGCAGAGGGAGATCAGTCTCTGGGGACTTCAACAATAGCACCGAAAACACTGTATGTGCTAAAGCGAGACGTGTCATTCAAAGGTCACTTGTTCTTCATTGAACAAGAGGTCTTTGAGAAAATAAGTAGTAAAAACAGGTTGCTGGAGGTCAATGCTAGCATGTGTTTGGCAACTCGATGTCCTGTTGGGCACCTGAAAGACGGCATGAGAGAGGTGTGATGCTTCCTGTCTAAGAGTGTGTTCAGACTTGACTGTTCTGGCAGCTTCTCTCTTCGGCTTGGATGAACTCTTGCTGACATTAGTCGGAGTGTAACGTCTACTATGACTACATCCATATTCACACACACACACACACACACACACAGGGTGACCGGCTGAACGCAGGTGAGAGGAATGCCTGAAGGTGTGAAGGTTGACAGTTTTGCGTAAAGTTGCAACAAGAAGCAACAAATTTTACTAAGACAAACCCAGCAAAGCCAGCAAGACCTGTTAGACCTAACTGTCACTGTTCAGGAACATGAGACAGTATGTTTCCTTTGTGTCAAACCAAATCGTTTAGAGACGCATGTACGTCTGGAAACGCATATTTGTACAATGAAGGTACTGTATATGTGTGTGTACATGCTCTTCTCGGGTTTCCCAGTCAAATTATTCAAACCCGGTGTCTGTTTCATAGCAAGTGACAATGTCTACACCAGATGAATAATAATGCCTTTGTCTGGCTTGCATCTGAGTGTTCAAATATGTTTTGGCATAATTGATTGGCATATTAAATGTTTTCGTTGAAAGTGCACAATGGCAACGTAATGTTTTGAGTGCAGAAAAAAATGGCTTATCAAATTACCTTGCCATATGTCTACAAATGTTCACTCGGGATTAGAAGCACTTGAGGATCTCAGAGTTTAAAGAGGCTATGAGAGCTTTTAGGCTTCCGATTTAAGTGTGCTGACAGGCCGTGTGTTGGAGTGACGGCGAGTAGTTAATGACTACCTGTTCAGGTGAGAACAGCACCTAGTGTGAAACCAGTCTGAAGACTCTGTCACTGACAAGGGAGGATGGGCAGAGGCTGATAGGCCAGAACTTCCCCTGGAAGACAAGGTAAACAGCAGGGTTAGAATGACAGCAGAGGAATGCCAAAAATCCACTTTAATGGATTCCTTAGTGTTTCGCAGGGCAGGTCAGCAAGTGAGAATAGAGAGGTAAAAGTGACAGGCTGAGCTTTTGGAAGAGCTGTACAGACGAAAGGGAGGATTGAGGGGTGTGATGAGAGACTGGCGGCCTGTCAAACACATCTACGGACGTATAGGTGGGAAAGGAGGGACCCGCTGGATATACCAGAGACAGGACTCTCTGCACAGTTACTTATTGTTCAAAGGGAAACGGCTTTCAGTAGACCTTTCGCACACAGTCATGCTCGCTTTGTGCTGCTGACAGATTTATCTTGGAGGACGTTAGCGAAAGGCTTAAGCTTTTGAACTCTGCTGTTGCGCCAAAAATATTACTCAACTGTGGCATTACATCATTAGGACTTTGTATTTTTAGGTGGTTGCAATGACTATGTTGGCAACTTATTTAGGAACATATTACAAAAAACAGTGTGCTTGAATTTAGTATGAACTTGCTTATATTTTTACTTATTATGTAAAGACTTAATGTGATTTAAATTTGGCACGAGGATAACGGCCTTATTCTGTGATTTACTATAAACATTTCAGTTGTAATTCTGATAAACTGAAAGACTTGTTGAAATGCAATTTAAGGTGATTCATACATTCATGAGTTAAACTATGCTCAAATCTTTGAATTCTCGGTTCTAATCCAAACAAATCTGCTATCGGTGAAATGTAATTGCATTTGTTGACAATTGTGCCTGACCGCCACAGGATATCCTGTGTTAATGGGTTTCTTTATTGCTAGGATAATACTTGTGGACTTTTTGTGTTTAGTGACACTTTAAAGAGACAAAGTGGAACTATTACCTACTAATTCTTAAATTACATAGATAATAGAGCAAGACTTATATTTGAGGGGTTTATAGAGTAATTGGTGTAACTGGTTTGGGTTTCTCTGACCTTTGACCTTTGCCCGCAGAGGCTACTAAGATGCACCTGCAAGTGTGTGTCACGACCCATGTAACCTCAGGCACATAGGCCTCCCTTCAACAAGAGAATACTGGTCAAGACAGCAGACGGATAATAAAACAAAAATATATTTTAATGATTTTCTCATTGCTCTGTCTATAAGGCCATACAATCAATGCAAAATCAGGTTTAAGAGTGTTTTAAAGGTATAGTCGACTCAAAAATAGAAATACTGTCATCATTTACTCTGCGGCTCTGATGTCATTGTAAATAAAGTTTTCTCTTCCAAAAGAAAATGTTTAAAAGAATGTTAATGCTGCTCATTTTCAATGAAAGTTAATGGTAGCCAATGGAGTCCATGCAACTCATGCATTTTATTCAGAGTCCTCTAAATCCATATGATAGATTTGTGCTAGTAACAGAATACAATTTGCTAAAAATGTGTTAGTCTCTCCAAAACGTTGCTACTCTCACCTTAAAAGCCTCTCATTTGAAAATTGTGGTCACCATTGACTTTCATAGTATGGGAAACAGTAATACATGCTATAATTCTGACATTCTGCTTTATATAATGTTTTAAAATGACATAAATATGAGGAAACTATTGCAGATAACTATTCCTTACATTTAAAAAGCATAAAGCATGACCCAAAGGATGCATTATCGTTTGAAAAATCAGCCAGAGACATAATAGTGAAAATGACTTGGTGAATGAGCAGGTGAGGAGGTTATTTTCTGAGAGGTGGTATTTATGGTGTGAGTGTTTGTGTGATGGATGAGGGGATGTAAAAAGAGAGTGTGTGAGAGGTATTAGTTGATATTTCCATGTGTGTGAGTGTTTGTGCGAGTATGGAGTGAGAGAGAGAGAAGCGAGATGTGGAAGTTGATGTCCCTTTCCCTCAGGGATGTGACATCCCTGCAGAGGAACAAAACCAGCACGGTATTAGTAACAGGATACGCCGCTAGCGCAAACTGGAAACGTGTACCTCCTTATCTAGAGGGCAAGTGAGTCGCTTTGTATCGTTTTCCCATACATACCTGATCCACCCGATAAGGTCCTGTTTGTGTCTGTGAGCTCTCAATTTACAAAAAAATTCCCCAACGATCAGCCAGCGCACAAGGAAACAATATGACTTTCAGACTTCTACAGATAATAACAACTCTTTCAATCAATATAATTGAAGCTGTTATCAACACCAGCTAATTGCTACTTTAATAATGATTGTACAAATAATACAATTAAATAACACCTTAAATGTACAATAGTTCTTCAGATTTCGGACAGTTTACCGCACGCATTATGATAGACCTATAGAAAAAAATATTTGAATCTTTTTCTTTTCTAAGAATGGCTTAACTTGAAGTGCTGTAAAAAAATTTGGGAAAAAAATATTATTTTAAGGTACTTTATGATATGTTGCCATACGACAACAGCATACAATAGTGGATCTAACTTAGAATAAGTGTAAGCTTACTTATAATTAATATTTTTCCTCAGAAATGTTGTTTGTGTTGATTCAATTGGTGCTATTATAAGCTTTAACACAGTACTTACTTAGAATAAATAAAAGCACAAGTTGTTGGAAAGTATGTATAAGGTGTCAATTATATATATTTTTTGCTGAATAATGATTTATAATTGTTTTAATTTCATTAAATTTTTCATGAATATTATTTAAACTGCAAATTTATACAGTTAAAACAAATATAATACTGTATATCATGTATCATAAAACACTGACATAAAACCAAAAACATTGCAGTTAATGAAAATTCAGCATTATGCAATCTCTTGAGAGGAAGACTATGAACATGAGCCCCCACATCTCACCACAGAAAAAAAACTGCATGTGATGTGACTTAATCAAAGCACATCATTGGCTAAACTAAGGTCTTCTCTTTCCAACAAAAAAAACGAGAATGTTCTCTTAAAGAGACAGTGGCAAGGAAATGAACACAAAGTGTATGTTGCCATATGGCTACACCATGCGGTAGAGGGTTAACTAGTGTTTCTTGACATATAGCAGGTTTAACCAGACAGTCAGCTGTGTGTGGACATTACCTTGTCTGTCTGCGTGTTTATCAAGGCTGTCATTGTTTCATTGCTTGAATTTCCTGAGAACATCTTATTTCTGTTGCGTTTCTGTGTGTTCAGTTGCAATGTCTTGATTTCCATTTTTGTGTGCATGTTTGTACTGCAAATAGGCTATTTGTATATAGTAATTTGACCTTTTTTCATGGACGAATGGGTCTGTGATGTATAAGTAGAAAGGAAAAACCTTTTTAATTAAAAAAAAAAAAATTACAGTACATGTACCAGTTCTCTGTGTTAATTTTTTTCACCTTATACATTTTCAAATAGTTGGTGTAATCATTAAATAAAAAAGTAACGTTTTCCTTGCACCTTGATTCATAATTTAAAAAAAAAAACATTTAAGAAATGTAATTGAATGCCTTAATTTATTATATTTATAAACAAATTATAATCAATTTTTTTTTATAAATTATAATATAATATTATAAGAGGCTTGATATAATTTCCTGTTTTTTAGTTTTTTTCCTGCTTGTTAGCTGCACCATGACTTTGCACCAAGCAGTGAAGCTGTTTTGTTAAAATATTTTTAAGTAACGGTACAATATTATACTAAAGTTCCTTGGCATATACATGCTCATCAGAGAAGTTATTGTATGTCAGAATATTTATTTATTTATTCAGACAAAATTAGTTCTGTGATATACTGAAATTATATCAGCTCAAGGTCTTTAACGTTAAGCTTAGGGTGGATGTTGCTATAGATTATGATAATAGCAACCAGACATTAGCAGGGAAAGTCTGTGGTGAGACACAAATTAAGAGGCAATTGAGAGCTCTATTTGTTACCTTGCCTAAGGTTATACTGCTCAACATGACATCTCTGTTCAGCCTTTCTCATCAGCTCTTTCTCTCTCGCTCACCGCCTTCGTCCGTTTCTGTTTCACACTGAGTTCCGAAGAGTTTCAGGTTGCGTGTTTTTCACCTTTTTCCCTGAAAAAGTAAGGCGATCCGATCCGGCTTTCACTTTTTTCCCCCCAGAACAATTGCAGAAGGTCTGTGCAAGTGCAGACGGTGGAATGAGACAATGAAAGAGTTTAGGGCTCACAGCCTCATCTGTAAAATCTCCCTTCTCTGGAGGATGTCCATCTGCCCAGTATCTGGTTGCAGAATGTAGACACAAATGTAGTCAATTTTGACAGAGTATTTCACTTAAAGTTAATGGTAAATGTGTGTTTGGACCAACCTACCCCTGAATTCAAGACCCGCTTCCTCTGAACCCAAGCCCTGGGGTACTTTTTGGTAATGACTTTGTTGCTGTTCAGTGTAATTTCAGTGCTTTGTCATGCATCATTCACAACTCTTCAGTTCGTCCGCGCCTGAGGATATCATGCATTCGTGCATGCTTCGCTTCAGTGGAAAGGGAGGTTTTGTTGTTTGTGTAGCGATTTTCATTGATGATAAGCTCCATGCTGTGGTTCTGTATGAAATGACTGGTACAGTGTAGCAGTGTTTATGTAAATAGAGATTAGATATATATCCCTCATCCAGACAAACATCAATAATTTTTGTCTCTTGACAAACATGTCCAAGACTTTAGTCAAGATAGTGCCATGCACGTTTAATTTTTTGACAGGAATAAAAATGAGGCTTTGAGGGATAGATGTACGGTGCGATCACTGGATTTTACTGTTGTTTAACAACGTAGATTGTTCAACTTACGAAACATCTTTCAGCGAGTGAGAGAGAAAAAAACAACTTTCAGTAGACAAAAACTTCATGAAACAATTTTGAAAGTTTTGAGTTGAAAAAATTATGTGATCTTGTTTTCAACTGAATATGGTGTCTTACCTGACTAAGGTCTATAGAAGAATTCTGTTTGGTTCCTCAAATATTCTTTCAGTGAACAGAACCATTTTTTAATAAATATTTAAATCTAAAAAAAAAATGTAAATCTAAAATGAAATAAAAAAAAAAATCTGAAGAACCTTTTCCACTATAAAGAATATCAATTCTATATGTTTGTGTGTGTGTGTCTGTGCGTGTATACAAATATATATACAAACAGACATCTTTCTTTCTTTCTTTCTTAATGGATTCATATGTATGTATCAAACAGATTAAGCAGCAGTGTTTTTTTGTAGGTAATATTTTACGTAAATACAAAACCCCTAAACTTAGGGTCCCACTTTATATTAGGTGACCTTAACAACTATGTACTTACATTTAAATGAATCATTTAATACAATGCACTTATTGCGTGCGTACATGTTTTTACATTGTACTTATATTTTTAAAAATACCTGCATGTAAATACATCTGTAATTAATTTCTGTAATTACATTTGTTAACACTGTTGACCCATCCCTTTATACCTTAACCCACCCTTAAACCTACCCATACCACCAAACCTGTCCCTAAACTTACACGTATCCCACCTCAATAGCAGCAAAAGTGTTTTGCAATACAATATGAACACAATAAGTACATTGTACTTATTTTTTGATGTAAGTACATCGTAGTTAAGGCCACCTAATATAAAGTGGGACCAAACTTAGTAACCATAATCTTTTTTTCTGCCGAAAAAAGCAGCTGTAGTTTGTAATTAGATTTTTTTTTAAACATTATATAAAAATATAAAAGTCTTCGTCATCTTAAAATAAATTAGACTTTTCTGTCATTACAAATCTGAACACTTAGCTCGTCCGACCTTTTTTTTTCCCTTTGAGAAACGTTGCCCATTTGATGAATGTTCAGTTGGCACAGAATGTTCTTTAAAGGGGTCATGTGATGCGATTTCAAGTTTTCCTTTCTCTTTGGAGTGTTACAAGCTCTTGGTGCATAAAGAAGATCTGTAAAGCTGCAAAGACTAACATCTCAAATCTAGAGATATTCTTTATAAAAGTTAAGAGTAAGCCACGCCTACCTAAAACGCCTCGTTCTAACACGCCCCCACATATCTACGTCACTATGTGGAAATATTAGCATAATGCCGCCCAAATGTGCACGCAAAGAAAGAAGGCGTGGTTTCAGGAACAGCAGCAGTGTTGATGCAGCCATGTCAGGGAGACGCTGTGTATTTCAGTGTGAAAGCAAAAGCACTTTATTTGGCCTTCCGGAAGTAGATGCAATTAAGAATCATTGGTTAAGATTTATTTACAACAGAACAGCATAACCCACACTCTTAAAAATAAAGGTGCTTCAAAAGGTTCTTCTAGCGATGCCATATAAGAACCATTTTTGGTTCCACAAAGAACCATTCAGTCAAAGGTTCTTTAAAGAACCATCTCTTTCTTACCTTTTTGTAATCTGAAGAACCTTATTTTGCCACAAAGAACCTTTTGTGAAACAAAAAGGTTCTTCAGATGTTAAAGGTTCTTTATGGAACCATTTAGACAAAAAGGTTCTTCTATGGCATCGTGAAACAACTTTATTTTTAAGAGTGCAGATGTTCGAATTTGTGCAAAGCATTTTATGGACAACAGTTTTTTGAACCTAGAAGAGTACAAGGCTGGCTGTGCACAAAGGCTATTTCTAAAAAAAA